ATCTCATTATCTCATCTGTCTTAGCGATCATCCTCACAACCTTCCAGGACAAACTCCATGCTGTACCTGAATGAGAGAGCGTCTGCGAGGTCTCGGGCGTTGAAGTCGTACACTTTGTAACCTTCTCTTTTGAAGGCGAGCACAGCGTTGGGGCCGAGCCAGATGCTTCCATCCATCCTCGGGGTGAAGTGAACGCCGAGGAACGGGAAACGGGGGTCAGGAACCTGGAAAGATGTTTTAAAAAGAGTTACTCAGAAAACACTTTCAGTTTCCAGCTTTCAGTTTTTTTGTCAATCCCATCATCAGGTACCGGCAGAGACGTCCCGAAGCAACAGCTAATACCAGGTTAGTCTCATGAGCTCAGCCCACATCTGTTTCTGATCATTATTTACAAGTAAAACTGAAAGCTTATTATTTCATATATTCTCCTGCACTTCTTTTTAGATAACACTACTCGTATAAAATCATTTTTATTTAAGATTTAGAAATCTGTTTGCTCTAGGCTGCTGCTGCGTCGGAAAATGTGACCAAATCTAAGCTTTAAATCGTGATATTTCAAGAAAATCATTCAACCCTACTTAAAAAGAAATTCTCCCAAAACAGTTTGCAGTAACTAGACTCTGTGAAAGACAAAAAAAATCTGCATTCCTCGAGCACAAGCCATAAGTGACTCAGCTGTGACCAACAGTCACATGACAAAATTGAATTCTGTAGAACAGAAAGGAGACATTTAACTTTTGTTTCGTTTTGAGCCACAGATTTTGGATATATTTCTGGTCTCCTGAGCCTCCTCTGGCAACAGTTTTAGCCTAAATCCTCAAATAAGTATGAAAACATTGTTGTATTTCCCAGAATTATTTTAAGCTGCAGGGATCAGCTTGTAAATCTGATTGGAACTTAAGAGGAAACCAAAACTGGAACCAACAGCAGTTGAACCTTTAAAGCATCTCAACTCCTAAATGAGAAGTTTGGATCTTGCAGCTGACCGATATTTTATTATATGATTTTCAAGTTGTGAATGACTTTGTCTTTTTGCCACTTTGGAGCCACCAAAGTTTGAGATTAACAATCAGACTTAGTAGCAGCATATGAAGTCAGACTTTGGCAGACCTGACCAGATGTTCAGCAGACTTACAGGGTAGATGTTCCCTTTGACCAGATAGTGTTTCTCAGGCTTCAGGACCAGATAGTCTCCTCTGAAGGGCACGATTCGAGGCTCCCGACTGCATCCAGATATCTGTGACAGACGGTCTGAGTACAGGCCTCCACAGGTCAGGACGTACCGACACCGCACCTCGTTACCCTGTTCAAAGGAAAGAATACAAAAAAAACATAAACCAAATGACACAATGCAAACACTGTGATGCTTTTATCTGCAGATCTCACCTGTTTGTCTCTGAGTGCGATTGGGTATTTCATTCCTGCAAATGGAATTTAAAAAAAAGTTAAACATAAAACAAGTACAGCTCTTTTTAAAAGGACGACTCTGATGACACACGTGCAGCAGTTTGTTACCGTCAGTGCTCCCAGCTGGACTCTCCTTCACCATGGAGATGTCATCGACCTCGTATTCGGTTACCACCGTGCCGCCTGCCTCCTGGAAGTCTGTGCCGTACTGAAGCGCCACCATCCTCCAGTCTACGATGCCAGTGTAGGGCGAATCCAAGGCCATGATCCCCTGTACAGATGACACACTGTTAACCTCCATTGGCAGGTTTTCTTCTGCCCAAGCAAGAAAACAAAAAGCGTCCCTTACCCTGCAGTACGGCTCTCGCTCTCGGATGCCCTTGGCGTCGACGATGCTGAGGTCGCGCACGTTGTTCTGCAGGCCGCGCTCGTACAGAGCTTTTAGCCGGGGAATCTCCTCCTGCTCCACAGCCACGATGAGCTGCAAAAAAACAGTGTTGAATGCAAAGATAGTTGCTTTAACTGTACTCTGGCAAAACAATTTCCTTCGGGATGAATAAAGTTTATCTTTATCTTTATCTTTATCTTTAGTTACAGCACAGTGATTCATATCCATCTTGGCTGGATGTCAAACCTTAAAGACTCCCTCTGGTAGAGATCACCTTTGTCACCTTGCTAACGTGTTACTTTGTATGCTACAAGACATGTAATGAACAAAATTAGCAGCCCTGATCCAATCTCAAAGATCAGGAAAGAGGCCAGCTGAAGCATTTTTGAACGTATCGGTATCAAACCAAACCCGGATCCATTGTTTACATCTGCTTTCACACAGGTGAGCACTTGAGCTTTGAATGGATCATCTAAGATTCATGCAGGACAAGTTTCCTCCAAACAAAGTTTTATAGTCTGAAAATGAAAAGTATACCAATATTAAAAAAGACTTTTTGCTTAGGCATGATGGGAGAAGCATTTTGAAACTACAGGACTGTTCTACTTGAATTAGACCATTTAGCAATATTTTTGTTTTTGTGGTGCAATTTGTCGTACCTGCTCAATCTGTTATCAAAGTTAAATCTAAATATTTGTTAGTACTAGTATAGGTATAAGTATTCATGTTAAACGTATTCTATATGTTTTGTATGACTGTGACATACAGCTACATTTGTCTGTTAAGATTCTCAGTCGTCCAGGTCATGGTTGTTCTTGTAGTTTAATCGTAGCAGCTGGACTTGTTTGAGTTTCTTGAAGACGTTTCACCTCTCATCCAAGAGGCTTCATCAGTTGTGACTGACTAGTTGGGAGTTCCACATACTTATATCCTTAAGGAGCCATTAACATCTGAGTTTTGGTTTCAATTGATGTGAGATTTGAACTGATGAAGCCTCTTGGATTAGAGGTGAAACGTCTTCAAGACACTCAAGCAAGTCCAGTTGCTACGATTAAACTGCGAGAACAGCTACATATGGTTCAAAAAATATCACTAGTTGACTGCTACATTATCAACCTTTTTGTTAACAAGAGATCAAAAATGGGACTTTTCATGACAGCTTGAGCTTTTGTTCTTGTTTCAACTCGTCCATTATCAGGAACTATTTGACGTTCTAGGCCAATATTGCAGATTCTGAATCAATGACATGATGAGACATAAAAGAAAGAGAACATTTTTGGCATTTATTTCTAATCGTTCCTGAGGTGTCGTGGTTCAAACAAAGCCTCAAATTTCAATGTGGGCAATTTTTTGTACATTTTTTAAAAAATCTATGAAAGTATTTGATATATCATATAAAAACATATCAGATATGTCTTTATGCTATAAAAATGTCAGGCAAATCAGAGATGTTGTAGCAGGGGGACCGTGAAGATTTGAGCTGAAATAACCCTGAAAGCAAAAACGCTGTAAAATGCATCATATCTGGTTAAAACACTGCAGCAGACCTTTCCACATCTCTTGTAAGGGAGTCCTTTCTTCTCGCAGTACTCGTAGGCTAAAGTGGCTCCTCGCACACACAGACGGGCCTTCAGCGAACCCGGAGTGTAGTAGATCCCGCTGTGAATGACGCCACTGTTGTGCCCACTCTGGTGTACAGCTGCCAACACAGAGACGGTGAAGAACAGCAGGATTTATTAGCACACATACAGGACACAGAGGTCTCACCAAGACTGCGCTCTGTTTCTCTTTTATCTGCTGCCATCAGTCACAAAAATGTGCTCAATAAGTATTTTTATAGCAGCAACAGTTGCACAAGAAAGTAGAATTCATCCCATTTTTACATCAACAGCTTTAATCTCTGCTGTCTGGTCTCCTCCTCAGACTTTGAAGAACTAAAACAAAGATCACATGCTCTTTTATAACCTCTGCCATCTCCCTCCTAAACTCTAGTAGAAAAAATATATATATTATTTGCAGAAATTTTTGATTTTCTATGATTTTAATCCTCTGAACACTAAGAAGTGTCTGGGCATTTTTCGGTCCTGATAGATTTTTTTTGCTCATTTTTCACTGCAATATAAAGTCCTGCACGTCTATGAAAACAGGACACCTATGACTAAAAGTAGAAAAAATATATTTGAAAAAAAAAAAGGACAGAAACATTGAAAATTTAATTTATTTAATTATTTATTTAGAAAAATAAATAAATAACAAATGGAATCAGCATGTACAAGATTTTTCAATATGTATTACAAATACTGCAAAAAAGCATGTTGGCTCTGGGTACTACAGATATTTTACTACATTTTAAACTTGTTTCCATGTTTCCTATCTGCTCTGTGTAAACACACAACCTGCAGCTCAGCCTTCACTCACAACCTTCACTCCCTGAATGTTTGTCTGTGACCTTCATTGGAAGCCGAGTCACTTATGTGATGTTGGCTGTGCAGTGGAGGATTATTTTATTTTGTTTTATTTTATTTTATTTTATTTTATTTTATCTTTTACAGACGCTGGTTAGAGCAAACATTTTATTTTATGGCAAATACAAATGAGACGAATAGAACAAAGGGATTTAATCTGGCTCTAATAAATGGTGTCATTTTTCTGGTTTTTGTAAAGACAACATTAATTCAAAGGTTTAACTGAATATTTCATTTTGTGAATTTATGCTTCTACCTCTATCTGTGTGAGCTGTGTTTTACATATGCTCAATATCTCATAAATAAAGTTGACTGATTCAAAATACAGCCAGAATTTTAAATTCTTGATTTATCTCACATTTAACTGGGAAACTTTGTGGAAAATATTTTTATTGGTTTCTTGCTGAGCGTTAAATAAGAAAACTGATTGACTCTCATGTCTGTGAAGCTACAGTCAGAAGGCTAACAGCTCTGCATAAAAGACGGAAAACTTGGAAACAACTAGCCTGGTTCTCTTTATAAATCCACCTATTAGCCTGTCTACTGCTGTCTAATAAACATGTTTGTTCGATCTGAACAATTACTGAAGCGGAAGATTGACAAGATGTGGTTTATCTGCAGCGACTTTCCCAGAATGTTGAACTTTTCCTTTAAGGTGGTTTTAATGTGAAACTTTTCAGGTTCAAAACTGGAATATAAGATTATTTATTATTTTTCAAGTTGCATTTTTATGTGTGTGTGTGTGTCTTAATTAACTAATCAGGGGTGCTGCTCTTAATTTTGTTGTAGCTTGTGCAAGACTTTCTTTTTCTAATTCTATTGCAGGATCACAAACTGAATATAAAAAACACTTTTTCTTGAATTAGAATAGCAGGACTCAGTATCTTTAATTGTCTAAAAGATTTAGCAGGCTGCTGACACATTATAGGTCCATTATGCAACTAACAAACACAAATACATTAGTAAAGAGGCAAAAGCACTTTAACAGTTGTGCAGCAGCGACTTTATTCCATCAGCTGATGTAAGGAGATGAGCTCAACTGCAACAAACATCAAGCAAAAATACTTCAAGATGTCAAAGTGCTCCCGTTTCTTCACAAGCATTTCTACTGCTTTGTTTCTGCATTTTAAATAAAACAATATAAAACAATGATTGAGAGGCTAAAAGGCGACTCTCAGGTTAAAAAGAGTCAGATCAAACCTAAAACTCAGCAGTTTATCATCACTGTCTTTGGTTCCTTTCATAACCAAAGTGACATGACAAACTTTAAAAATATTCACAGACTTCACTGTGAAATGAGGCGGTATGCAAAATATGTTTTCTCTTTAAATCATGCCTCTCTTTCTTCACCACAACAACAACATAAAAAAAAAACTCAACTCACAGAGCTCCTTTTCCTTCTCCAGCAGGACGAAGCTAAGCGTCGGGTGTCTCAGAATGAGCTCTCTGGCTGTGGCCAAACCCACGATGCCGCCTCCGACCACGGCAACGTCATAGGAGCTGAAAAAAAAAAAAGAAAGAAAAAAAGGGCAGTTCAAATTTGGTAACTGATAATCTACTGTCTTAGCAGGTTTGCAAAAGGGAGAAAGTTCAGGAGAACATCCAGGTCAGTGGTTCATCGTCCAACTGTACATGACTTTGTGAGCAGAAGACCTTTGAAACGGCGACACACATGTTGAAACTAACAGGCGGTTTGGAAACACATGAAGGACATGAAGCTCTGATTCAGTTCTAGAGAGTAGGGCTGAACAATTTGGCAAAAATGGCACCTTTTCTTACTGCGATTTTGATTGCAATATTTTTTTTCAAAGTCAAGCTTCAGTTCAATATTCACTGTGTGACAGATTAGAAACATCTGATGGAGCCTCACCACATGTAAAACCATCAAAATGTGACCGTCACACAGGGACACTGACGATTTTGTAAATTGCTGCCTTTGCGATTTGCTAAATGTAAATCAAAACTGAACACATTTTTCAGCCTGACTATGTGTTTGCATCATTTCTGGTTGATTCAAACCGTCCACGATCACCACAAGTTCTGGCAAAAAAGACGAAGAACACAATGTTCAAGGCTGGGAGAACATTGAGATCCCAAACGGCCACGAGGGATGTTGGCAAACATCTTGTTGTGTTTTTGAAAATTAGAACCAGGCAGTGTCATAAAACGACATCACGAAGGGGAACCAATTAAAACACTGGAGGAAAATACTGAGCAGAAGTGGAGCTCATGAGAACTTTGAGAACATAAATTGCCAAAAAATGACAATGCCGAGGACAAACTGTGCTTCAGGTTTTCAGTTTCTTAATTTGCATTTGGACACTAGAACAATAACTTGTTAAAACTTGTTGGTATTAAGCTGAAGCATCTGAGGATCGAGCCTTAGATCCTTTATGACTTGCCAGATTACATAACTGCACAGGACAGATAGTCTAATGCTTTTCTAGTTACATCCTCCAATACAGAAATACAAAAAAAGCCATGATAATAAATTATTTATTACCACTAAGAAAGGAAGCAGAAGATAAGCACATTTCATTTGTAATGAACAGTAAAAATAAAGAGGTACAAACAAATATACTAACATCTACGTATATTTTAATATTTAATATTTTATAAAAGCCACAAAAACAAAGTTTAAAGATTATTAGTATTATTATTATCATTTAAAAGTAGGTACAAGTAAATCATATGTTATAAACTAGTAGCTTCATTATTATTAGTTAGTTATTTGGTTTATTGGGACTTTACAGGTGCACTTTTTCTTTCCAACATCACCTGCATGTCTTCTAGTGCACATTTCAAAGATTACCCCAATTATAACAAAAATAAAATATGATTAAAAATGTAAATAACGTGTAACGTACACCAATCTTGCTGCAGCTGGTTGCTTAAGTTTTCAAATCTGCTCTTGCTCTGTGGTTTTTGTTGCAAAACCACACCTTCATGTATAATCTAAGCTTTAAAAAGACTAATTAAGGCTTGAGGAACACTGGTCTGGCTGTGATGTTATTGTGGAACATGGGGCGTGTATTGAAATTTAATTTTACTCTGAAAAATTGTGCAATGAAGAGGTTAAAATGTAAAGATTCCTGCGCTCCCAGGATCTTGACAGCACCCCTGAGCTGTAATTAATTAAACCTGAGGAGTATTTAAGTGATGCAACCTGTTTGTGATCTCTTGCAGGAGTCATGGAAGGCAGTGCACAGGCTGCCTGGTGAACAGAGCATGCATGCTGGGGAGGCACAAAGAACTGTTTAACGTGTGTGGATCAGGTTCTGCAGAGAACACACAAATGTTATGTAATGTGGTTCTTGGTGCTGGGAACCAATGGCAGTAATTAAAAGTGAAGGTATTCAGGCAGGTGCCCGCTTGTCTGCGTCTTTTCTTAACTTTTTAACACGGACCAGACAAAGAAAAGCTCGTCTTACTCGTCGCATATGACAGAACTGCAGCAGCTCAGTCTCACCTGTGCAGCTGTCGGGCTGTAACGTCCTTTACCAGCAGTGAGGGCTTCGCGGCGGCGGCGGCAGCCTTCACGGTCGCCCGGCTCAGGACTCGGTTCATGTTCTCAGCGTTGACAGCAGCTCACTGCAGCTTCTTCTTCATGGTACAGCGGCCGGCTGAGCTGTGAGTCCGCTGTTTCCTCCTCCTGCTGCCCCCGAAGCCTGCTGCTCAGTCCTGGAAGCCGACATAAGGCCACGCCCCCCCACCGCGACGCAACAGCCTCACGGACGTCCACGCGTTCAGCCAATAGGAGGGCACGTTTCTTATTACGTCACAAGGTGAAAGGTCACGGCAATGGCGGCGTTGCGAATGTAAACAGTCTGGTCTGTTGGAGGACAGGTGAGGATTTATTCATCTGTAGCTCGGTTTCTTCGAGTAGTGCATGTACGCAGCTGAAGAAGCTGCTTTTTCAGGACCGCATTTCTAGGACCCTTGTTTTTTAATCATTCTTTCTGGGAGCAAATAACATGACGGACACTTGTTTACTCCCAAAAGGCGAGCTAGCTTTTTGAGCCCACAGACACTGCAGAAAAAATGAAAAATATATACACTCATTACTGTTACTATATGCAGTTATAGGCAAAAAAAAAAGCTTTTGAACCCATAGCTTGTTATTATAAAACATTATTGAATTAAGTTAACCTTTGGAACTATTCACTAGACACTAGTATTTTAGATAAAACAAACAAATTTAAAACTATAATCTGTATTTTGCATAGAACATACCTATAAAATGATACGCACTTAGACAGAAATTTGGATTTTAGGAGGAATAAACCTTTTAAAAATATGAAGTATTTGGACAGAAAAATTTATTTTGGGAAACCTAAAACCATAACTCACTCTTTAAAAAGCAGTGTTTGGGTTGAATGAACCTTTACAACTATAACTTGTTATTAGATAGTAATATTTAGTCGAATAAGAGGATAAAACTATGAGTACTTGGGCAGAATGTAGTATTTTGGATGAAACAAAAATGTAATCTATAACCTTTAATTTGTTGGAACAATCCTTTAAAGTTTTAAGTAACTGTACAGAAAGTCATATTTTGGGTGGAATACATTTTTCAAATATTAACTTGTTCTTGAGAAAGTATAGTTTGAAATAAACCTTTGAGGCTATAAGTATTTGGACAGAATGGAAACTATAAGTGATATTATGGGTGGAATAAGCCTTTAAAACCTTGTTGTTTATTGAGTATTGACGATGTGAAGGTGAAGAAGAAATTCTCCACTGATACCATCTTGTTGATATAGAAAAAGGTTTATTGCAACAAGTACAATATCTCAGACGTCTGGGAGAGGATTCAAAGCCAAAAGGAATCACCCTATGAAAAAACCTTAACCACTAGTGATGTAGGGGGCTGTTTACATAAAACTAAGACAAAATATTATGGTTCACATCCTGAGGGGAGCCCATTCTTCTAAACAAAGTGGCACCTTTCCTGCAGCACCTTTGACCTCGGGACTCCTAACTAAATATTCCCATGAGGTGGAACATCAGATAAGTCATGCACTTCAGCAATCTGCCAAATTCGCAGGTATTCTGTCACAACAAACAAGGGTCCTACAAATGCGTCCCTCAAACTGCAGCCTGCTCTGCTACAGAAACATAATTTTGCAGTTTGACGAACTAATTCAAACATTCAAATCCATTAATAAATCTCATTGTTTCTTAATTGCGTGTTTATTTTCAGCTCACAAGTATGAGGCTGTTGTCGCAGGTGGTGAAGTCTGCAGTGAGTCAGAAGGAGTGGAGCCGCAGACACTTCTGGGGTTGGCTCAATGCTGTTTTCAACAAGTGAGAACCTAAACATTATTAATACGCTTTTATAGCTAATGGTCACACAGCAAAGCATTGAAAGGCATACGTTAATAAAAAGTGGTGTCTTTATTAGATATGCAATCTAAACCATCTGTTCCACCGTAAAGTCTATTTTTATAATGCTTGTAATGCTCAGTTTTTGTTGACTTGCTTACAGAGCTGTTAATTAAATCATACTCAAAGAAAAATATAAATGCAATATTCAAATGGTCTTCTTCTTTGATTTAGAGAAAAAGCAGAAAAACTGGGGAGTTAATCCACACTATAGTCAGTTTGTGATCTGGTAATTGGCTCTGTGATTGGACCTTTTCACTGATGAATCTGGTTTTTAGTTGTACAGAGTAGATGGCAGACGTCACTATTAGTGTCGTCCAGGGGAGTGCTATGTGTATGTCAACATCAGAGTGGCCCATGGAGGCAGATGAGTGATGTTGTGGGCAGGGATGTGACATTAACAAAGAACATGTCTGCATTTCTTTGCAGGCAATCTCAGTGTCCAGTGTAATTGAGATAAAATCCTCACAGTCTTATTCATTTGCTGCCATCACTTGATGTTTTATGTGCGTCCTCATGACATCAGAATATACGCTACTCTTCTGTAGCAGCTTCAGACATGTCACAAATCAAACATCGGTAGTCCTGTCCCACAAATTGTCCACTAGCTTCCCCAGTGATTGAATTATACTGCAGGTGCTTCACTCTAACTGTTGCCTTCATACCTCAGTGTGTTCTGACTTTAAATGCATGAAATAAAGACTTGCGTATCAATGCATTAGAAAGCAAACTCTCAGTGGTCTCTTTGTTAGATACATCTCTGTAATCGAATACAATCCTATCCATGTGTTCCACCATAAAGTTAAGCTTTTATGATGCTGTAATGCTCAGTCCGTGCTGACGCTGTCATAAAGGTGTTAATGAAGTTATCAGTCATATATCATGTATATCTCCTGTATGTAAATGTGATGGCTGAATTTCAGCTTTGCTGATTATTAGATCTAATAATTAGAATTTTTATGATTATTTTTTGGAACCAATTCTAGATAAATATGTTTGTTTTAAAATGCCGTCTCTCCCTCTGTCTGTCACCCTGTAGTCTTAACCAATGGTTACACTCCAAAGGTAACAGCCAATCAACACTGAAGAATAAATTATGAAAAGTTCTCTTTTGCTCAAACACGTGTAAAACAGAAGTATGGACATTTTAATAAAGTTTTGTGTAGGAGTTTGTGTTATTCTAAATTTTAGCACCATGATTTCCATTTGCAATAAATGTGAAAATCTTGGTGTCAAAATTTGACCCCAAAGTTTTCTGTGTTCTTATTTATTTAGTTTGACCAACAGTCCAAAAAACCCAAAGTATTCAGTTTAAAAAACAAGCAAATAGTCCAATTTATACATGCGTATCCAACAAATGTGTCACCCTACCTGATAAATCACCACATAAACAAACAAACAGTGGGGTGATGACGTCAGGTTCAATCAACTGGCCTGGTGGGCCGTTTGCCATTTGGACTTTAACTTTTTGTCTCTGGGCTCTTCTGTTCTGCCCTTTCACCCACCAGATGTGACCCAACACATTTCACGTCACCTGCATGTGCTGGACACTGAGTGTTTGTTGATGTTCTCTCAGGGTGGACTACGAGAGGATCAAAGCCGTCGGTCCGGACCGAGCCGCCGCCGAGTGGCTGCTGAGATGCGGTGCCAAAGTGAGGTTCCAGGGTTTCGAGCGCTGGCATCACGACTACAACGGACTGCCAACTGGGCCTCTGGGCCGATACAAGATCCAGGGAATTGATGCCACCGAATCCTGCATCATGTACAGAGGGTTTGACCACCTGGGTAAGCGTTACAGTGTGGAGAATATTACCTCCTTGTCCTTGTGACTTGTTCCAGCCTCATTACCATTTCCTCCAAAACCATCATGGATGCTCTCTCTCAGGTAGATGAACCAGACTAAACCTCTGCAGCCGCACACAAACTTAAAAAAGTAAAGTTTGTTCCGACGGTGGAAAATCCATCTTCTTAATTAAATCAAAGGGTTTATCCTCTGTACAGACATGTCTTAAAGACTGAGCTTGTCGTGGTACATTTTTAACTTTAACCAGGTGTACTTTGCTATATTTGCCAGCCTCGGGTGTTCTTAGCGTGTCTATGTCTGTCTGAACAAACTCCTGTTAAACTGACAATAATCAGTGATTAAGAGCCTGTTGTTTAAAAAAAAATGTATGTAAGAGATATGAATGGACAGCCATTTAGCATCAAACACTTAGCATCCTACTGTGAGCATAGATACTTATATCCTAAAGGAGCCATTAACACCTGAGTTTCGAAGTATCTGGAACTCCCAAATAGTCGGTTAGAACTGATGAAGCCTCTTGGATGAGAGGAGAAACGTCTTCGAGGAACTCAAGCAAGTCCAGTTGCTACGATTAATCTACAAGTCCGGTATGTTTGGCTTGAAGCTGGCCAGGACGACCACAGTGAATGAATAGTCCTGACAGTGAAGCACAGATGTGAGAAGGTGATGATTTGAGGCTGAACGAGTGCAGAAGGTGAGATGGCATTTATAGCTGCACCATGAATGTCTGCAGGCGTAACAAAATACAACAGATAAGATTACTCGAAACTTGGCAGAAGAGGAATATTCCAGCATTATTGTGATTATTATTTCCTTTATTTATACAGTAATGGTAATCTCATTGAGACACGGTGTTTTATTCTCAAGAGAGACCATCCAAAGCACAAATATTACACAAGAGTTTCTATGGAAGAAAACTGTGACGTTGCCAAGTATGTTGTCTGACTTGAATCCAGTGGAACAGCTTTGGGGTATTTTAAAGAGACACGTCGAGCAACACAACCCCTCCAGCAAAAAGAGCTGAAAAATCAGAAGAAGAAGAAATTTGGTTGAAGTCTGTCTTAAAAAATGAGCTGAAAGTATACTGATAAACTAAATGATTTGAATCTCAGACGTAAAGTTCCTACTGTGGGACCTGTGTTCGCATTCTATAACCTCTTATGTCACTGCTTACCTTAAAGTTAAAGCTGGCTTCTGGAAAAGCATGATTTGACATTTATTAGAACTAATGCTACTATAATATTGTTCCCAGAGTGTTGATGTGACCATTTTTTACGCTTTACTTTGAGAAAAATATGAATATATTTAATTTTTGTGTTAAAAATGGTTTAAATCCAAGCGGTTTTACAATGAAGTCGACTAAACCATTATAAAATGTGGATGTAATTTAGGAGCTGACAAGAGTATCAGATAGATTTGAAGCTGTCTGTCAGTACAGATGTTCGATATTAATATTTCAGTTAGGATTCATGCTCTGCGCCCTATCAAAGCTGCCACCACATTTAGCTGCGATACATGCCGTAGATGTTAAATTATTTCACTCTGACCTGGTGCTGGATTAACAGACTAAAGCGTCTGTTCCAATCAAAGATTAAAGCCAATGTTCAGAAAGTGTAAATTTTGCATTAAGTGTGTTGGCTCGAACTCGACCTCGACGGTTGACCTGAAAGTGATTCCCCTCTGTGTTAACAAGAAAGGAAAGGCGAGGGTGAAAGTGCATCTCTCTCAGACTGATTATCCAAAAGTGACGCAAGTGGACGGGATGTTTTACAGCGAGCAGGCCTGAACACACGCTGTCTCCGACCTCTGCTGCTCTGCAAACTCTACACTAGATGCTGATAAGACTTTGCCTGTTGGAAATATAATCAATAGACTGATGCCGTTTTTTTGTGTTTCCTTCTTTAGAAGGTTTGAAACACTTGGAAGAAATAAAGCTGAGTAAGTGCATGTACATAGAAGACACCTGTCTGGAGAGGCTGAGCTCAATGGAGAACCTGCAGGAGAGCCTGTACATGATGGAGGTGGTGTCGTGTGGTAACGTGACCGATAAGGGCGTCGTCGCTCTGCACCAACTCAGGTCAGTGAGGTTAAAAAAAAAGGTTTTTAAACTCGTAAGGAATCAGTTTTAGTGATGCCTTTTCATAATGCATGCACTAATCAGGTGTGACTTTCTCCTTCAGGAACCTGGAGTATCTGTTTCTCAGCGATCTTCCTGGAATCAAAGACAAGCAGACGACAGTGGACAGACTGCAGACGGCGCTTCCACGTCTGGACATTGCGCTGGATCTGGACTGAAACAACCTCCGCGTTCTGGTTTTAATGTAATATAGATGTAAAGGTTGTCAGAGTCAAAGACCCAGTTTAGAAGGAATGGACTTGCAGGGCTTTGATGGTGTGGCATGTGGATCCTTCAGCTTTTGTTTGCCTGCAAGCGTGATGCTGCACAACATTCATTAGCTCTTTTTTTTTTTAATGAAAGAGTGCAGGGCAAAGCTGATGTCTCATTTCTGCTCTCCGGTCATCAATTAAACCTCGAAAAACTCATCTCTGTGCATCAAAATGACATATTTAGAAGTTTTTTTTTCATTAAAATAATCCCTCCAGACGTTAAAATGACTTACATGTAACTCTACACCAATCCCTTTGCAAGTCGAGCACACCAGCTCACCCACAACTCTGCTGAAAACACTGCAAAAACTACTGCACATTACAACTTGGAATTTTGGAGTAATTTGCTGCAAACCAGTGTCTTCCTGAAAACTGATGCAGCCAGTTTTATTTAGAGTCATAATGTCATAATGTTCAAAAAACAGAACTTTAAATCCCTCTGTGGTGATACTAAAAGTATGTCTTTGTTAAAAACGTCCTGGAAACTGAATGAGTGTGACAAAAAAAAAATCAGTTTGTAGAGTAATCAGGCAAGACTTTTACATGGTTGGTTGTGTTTGGTATGTCTAACATCCTTGTTTGTATCTGGAAACAAGACTAATTAGGAAGATTCCCGGCTGGGGGTTCACATATAAAATGAAGAAATCATCTCTTTTGCAATCCTCCTAATGTTTTACCTGCTCAGATTATATCCATTCCAGCTCTTTTTACTAGTTAAATTGACTTTAAAGGACTAATTCAACCTAAATAACGCAGTTTCCTATTTCACAAAAAGTTACATTTCAGCTGAAATGTCACTGATGCAGCAAAATAACTTGATTTCATTCATTATGAGTTTCTTTTAAAGAGTGTAGCCTATAAAATAATATATTTAGAAGCCTTAACAAGCAGCAGGGTCATGTTTTTGGCAAGAAAATTAATTCCAAAAAATAAGAATGATACAGGAAGTCCCTGCCCTCACAGGATTGGCTCATCAGGTTTGTTACGTATGAAACCGGAGAAGTCTGAATCTGTGTTTTTGAGATGACTCTGGGTGCATGGGTGGAAATTAGTGCTTATTTATGATTTCTAGCATATAAAAAAAACACTACATAGATGTGTAAACAAGGTTAAAAGGGTCATTTTCACCAGAGGAAGAGGGACCTGAAAGCACTTTATGCCGCTGACACCATTTATTTTTGATATTCTGTCGTTTATTAAAGGTTACTCCACATGTGTGTACACAGAGAAAGCAGTTTAAGAGTCATTTAAATCCTGTCTTTATAGATTATTTTGGCATTTGTCATAAAGTATCTGAGGACAGACAGATGGCTGAAAACATCCTTAGCACCAGAGTTCCAGAGACGACGATGCCGCTGATACGTGTTGTGAAGGTGGTTTAAAGGAATGTTTACAACCGTATTCACTCCCGACGTCAATAAATATGACTTCCAGAAAAAAAATGCTCGTGAGTCTTTGCGTCCTACGTTATAACTTACTAAACGAACGACATGAATTAAACTCTACTATCAAAAACGTGTCACTCTCGCAGAGTCCATCGTGATATAAAAATACATTTGGCAAAGGCAGTAGTTGGACCTTCCGTCTAGTCGGCGACTACAAGCGGAGCAGCGAGTCGCTCCTTGTCTCACACATCTACACAAGATCAGCTTGAAACGCAGGCAACAAACCAGCGGGTCTGAAGGGACGCGCCGGGAATAGTGCATAGACTGACATCAATATGGAGAGACAAACGTTTTAACAAGTGGTTGAATCCTTTGTTTGTGAGCAGCTTCGGCTCCTGAGCGGCTCAGAAGGAAGCAGACGTCTGCTGGTGGTAGACTGAGCTCAGAGGGTTTAGATGTTCGGTAGGTGGTAGTTGAACTTGCGCAGGTTGTTGTAGTATTTCTTGTTGTCCAGAGCTGGAAAGATGCTGCTGCTGGTCAGCTGTGGCAAATACTGCAGAGTGGAAAAAAGAAGAATAAAAATAGGTTTCAAGGACGATTTTAGGAGGAGTTACAGTTTTGGTTTTTTTTAGTTTTTTTTTAATGGATACGATCATTTGATTTCTCGTCCCTCTAAGTCAGAAGGTTAAAAAACCCTGAAAAGCATGTTGTCTTTAAAAAAAACACACACAAAAATTACTATAAATTTATCAGAACCAGAAACTATAAAAACAAAAAGAATCATCAGATTTTCTAACTTTCTAATCATCTGTGCAAGCAGTTCTGTCAGAAAACAATTAAATCTAAGCTTAAAATCATGATGTTTCCTCAAAATCGCTTTATTCTAAGTGTTTGCACAAAAAAGATTCTTTAAAAAACATTCTGGGTTCCTCAGTTCAACTGTGAAGACTGTAGTGACTCTTCTGTGAGTAATAAAAATTAACTTAAACATCCATCCATCCATTATCTATACATCGCTTAATCCTCACTAGGGTCATGGGGGGCTGGAGTCTATCCCAGCTGACTCAGGGTGAAGGCAGGGGACACTGGACAGGTCACCAGTCTATCACAGGGCTACACTTAGAGACAGACAACCAAGCACACTCACATTCACACCTATGGACAATTTAGAATCACCAATTAACCTCATTATGTTTTTGGACTGTGTGGGAGGAAGAACCTGGAGAGAACCCACGCTGCACGGGGAGAACATGTAACCGGCGACGTTCTTGCTGCGAGGCAGCGGTGCTAACCAGCGAGACACCTTGCAGCCTCATATTAAACATGTAAATAGTAAAATCTGTATAATATGTGAAGCCACCATTTAATTTAGTGTTGATAAAAACCTGTGAGCACTTGGAAAAAATGTTTCACATGTTGATTCCAGGTTTTTCCATGTTTTTGTAAATTAAATAAACATCAATTCTTACAAATCTCAAGAAGAACTTGTTCAAATCAGGGAGTTTTTTTTCTACTTTGTTAAAAACTTTTTAGCGTTTGGTCTGAATTATATGAACCAATATTAAAACTGTGCCACACTCAGCCTGTCGTAGAGCCATGAAGTGTGCTCACCCCGGGGGGAAGGTGTCTGCGAGGTAAACGCGTCCTCTTGTTTCCGGACCGGTCCTGCTCTCTGGAGGTGCTCTCGCTCTTTTCTCTCAGACTGTCGAAGTAAGGATGCTGGAGGAGCTGCTCGCAGGACAGGCGCTCAGACGGGTCCATCCTCAGGCAACCCTACAGCATGGATATGTGGGGAAACAAGTCTGTTAGATTTAACACCAGCATTTTGTGCAGAAGACTTTGTTCAACAGATCTGGGAACTCAGAGGAAGAATGACTTTGTTGGTAACGACTTTGTTACCTTCATGAGGCTCAGAGCTTGATGCGACAGGTTTGGATATTTCTGCTCCAAAGGTTCCTACAGAGACCAAAAGCGACAACAGGTTCGCTGAAAAGACGACGACAAGAAGTTCTGATGCTTCTGTTTCTCGTATTTCTTTCTGGAATAATTCCCATCGTTTAACGCTTGTGTCTCACCATCTCTTGTGGCTCCGGGATGGAAACGCCGCAGAAGAACTGGTTGTTGCTGAAGACCTGCTGGTGTCGAGGGATCAGATCTCCTGCAGGGGGTTAAGAAAAAATCACACAGAATTTAGTGAATTGAGCTCATTTTGTGTATTTTTTTTACCTCTATTTATGGAAGAACATGATCAATATTATAATGTTTATAGACATTTTATAGTCTGACTCCATGGGAAGGTGTTTTCCTGCTTTTATTTTATGTCATTCTCACTTATTTATGAAAACACTCTTGAAAACATAATGACTTAAGCATTCAAAGCACAAAATCCCTTAAATTTAAAACCAGTATCCTGTGGATCATACCAAATACATTTTAAATCAACACATTTATCTGCTAACGTTTGCTGAATAATGCTAATACTGTGAGCTATGTGCTTCGTGGTGACCAAGAAGTTGTTATTCAACACTATTTATATGCAACTAATGGGTAAATATATAAGTTTTTATACAGAGTGTGATATATCTGTATATATACGTGCAAATGTCTGTTGAAAATATAGTAAAGTGAGTCAGTATTTTGAAAGGATGTTGTGCAAATGTGGTTAAATTCATCATCCTTCTATAATCCTGCTTCGTCTCCTCACTATTGTTTTATTACAAGATCTTTAAAATTGGTCTCATAGCTCTCATACGTTATCTTTTATTCACAATTTATTTATTGACAGTCACTAATGGAATGTAACTAAGTATATTTACTTAAGTGTTGTGTTTGAGTACAAAGTTGGGCACTTTTACTTTCCTTTTTTGAAATTTATGCAGCTTCATATTTGTACTTCACAACATCTCAGAAGCAAATATTCTACTTTTTACTCCACTACATTCATCTGACAGCTTTAGTTACTCATCAGATTATAATTTTTTTCACGTCTTCTCTGCTCAGTAAAAGCCACATATCTCCACATTTGTTTATATTAAATGTAATTTTTTCTGATAGCATATGAACGTTGGGTTGAGAACGTTGTACGACTTTTTAAGTGACATAAACTGATTTTAAAAACCCTAAAACGCTTCGTCACACGGTGGCTGTTTTTTCTGAGCTCATAAAAGTTGACTTTTTGGAAAAATGTGATTGTGACAGGACGGAAAGGCTGCAAAAATGTGTCGCTCTTATGGATTACAAAGCATTACTGTGGAATAAATGAAATAAAAGTATGTGAAGTAGTTAAAATCTGAAACATCTACAGCTGTAAAATGCAACATAAACATTGATTCAGGAAAATAAACCTCATATATAATAATAATAAAACAATGTCAGGAACCATTTTACTGCAGAATGAGTTTTACTTTTGGTACTTCAGGCACATTTTGCTGATAACACTTACAAACTGTTACTTAAAAAGGGTTTGAATGCAGGACTTTTACTAATAGTGGAGTATTTTCAAGGTGGGGTACCAGAACTTTTAGTCAAGTAAAGGCTCTAAATACTTCCTCCATCAGTGGAAATCATCCTCAGTCTGAAAAATCACATCATTTCCACAGAAGTGTTTAAGTCTTTCTGTAAAATAGCACATTTCTGGTTCCAGCTCCTCTGGTGTGTCTGCAGATCTAAACTCACCGAGAGTCTTTCTGATCAGGTACAGCTGGTCCATGTCGGACTTGCCGGGCCACAGAGGAATCCCCGACAGCAGCTCAGCGAACACGCAGCCGACGGCCCAGACGTCCACCGGGGGGCCGTACTGAGTGTCGCCCACCAGCAGCTCGGGGGCTCGATACCAGCGAGTCGCCACGTAGTCCGTGTAGTAGTCGCACGGTCCGGCTGACGGTGCAGAAAACACGCAACGTCTGGAGTCAGTTACAGGATTTATTAATACACGTTTAAAGGAATAGAAAAGATGGAGAGATTCTGCAGTGATGAGTCTGTAAATTAAAATACTGTGAATTAAAATTAAACATCCCAGCAGGCAAAATGAGCTCAACCTTGAACATCTACAGCTGTAAAATGCAAAATATACATAAAATCAGCAGTAAAATAAACCACAATCATCATATATAATAGTAAAATACTGACAGGGAACATGATACTGCAGGATAAGTACTTCTTAAAAATACTTTAGATAATATTTATAAACCGATAGCAGTTTAGTGGATGATAATATTCACACACTTTGACTTAACAAAGGCTTTTTATCTGTAGTGGAGCATCTAAAGGAGGATCTCCAGCTGCTGACTGGTTCACTGTAACCACATACAGTAAATATAGTCTACAGCTGCTAAAAATTCTGTTTTACACTTGATTTAATTTGTATTTTTTTTGTATTGTTATTAATTTATTCATATTTCTAATGACTGTATCCCGGATATTTTAGCTTGTGGACATTTAAGACAACCTCCTATCTCCTCTACAGCTCTAGAACAACCAGTTTTAGTCATTTACTAATCATTGAATTAGGTTTTTAAGCAAATATATCAAACATCTTATCGTTGTAGTTTGTCAAACGAGAGGTTTTGCTGCTTCTCTTTGTCGTATATGAAGCAAATTGAATATCTTTCAGGGTTTTGGTTTGACAGAATAACCGATTTGAGGACATCTGTTTGGGTTTTAGGGAATTATAACAAACATTTTTTACTATATTGAGTTGTTTGATGGATTGATTAACTGGGAGAGTAAAAACAGACAATAAATCCTTCTCAGCTTTAAAAAAAAATAAATAAAAAATTTAAAGTTAACTGATGCAGATAAACTATCCAGTATGTGACAAGGAGGAGAAAAAAAGTTAAGGGAAAACAAAAGACTGTTTTTAACCTCTAAAGACCTGATGTCCACCTGCATGGACATCACATTTTGGGTCATATTACCACAGTAGTTAATTTTTTTCAATGTTTTTATTATTTTACTCTTATTACTTTATTATTGTTATTTAATTTTAATTTTTTTATTCTATTTTTAAGATATTATTTAAAATATATTTTAAATACATTTTTATTTTCTTGATTTTTAAATTTTTTTTTTAATTCCTTTTTAAAAAATAAACAAAACACATATCAAACAAGAGCTCGGGTCTGAAGAGGTTAATCATCTTGAGTTCAGACGTCAAGCTGGGAATCACCTTTTCCTTAAAAGTTTCGCTCTAGTTGTTGATTAAACTCCTAAAAACTCATCAAAGTTATGTATTTAGAAGAGCTTTCTATGAAAATAATCCCTTTCTGCCTGACATGGCGTAGATTTAACCGCACTGTGGCGAGGACGTGCAGATCTGATGTGAACCAAAGAATAATGATAGAAAACCCCTGCAGGCTGACAGGTTTGGTTCTTTAGGTCTGGTATGTTTGAAAGTAGAAAAGCTGAGCCGTACTGCTTATTGTCGCTCATAATGTGTCTTCTGGCATTTAAAGAAACCACCACATGGACATGCTTTAAATCTGTCCTCCATCTATTTTGTATTTTCCATCACGTACAGAGAAAATTCTGATGTTTCTTTGACTATAACACATTTTATTCCTGATTTTTAGAGCATGCAGCAGCTCATCATACTGACAATATTAAGTGTATGAAGCAGCATCAAACTAAATCAATTTACCAAAGACGTGATGTTTTACCATTTATGCATAAAGCTGCTCGGAACCTCTGATGATTTGTGGTGTCAAAATAAAGACACTGAATATTACTTTTAGTTCTGAAGACTCATACGGCGGCTGGGATCGCTGGACGTGAACTGACCGGTGATGTTACAGCTGCTTTATAAACTCACTGAGAATCCTGGCGAACCCGAAGTCACACAGCTTGATGACCTGGTGTTTGGTGATGAGGATGTTCTCCGGCTTGACGTCTCTGTGGATGCACTGCAGAAACAAACACAGGCAGCACAGTTACATCACAAAACAGACAGAAAACTGTCATTTTCAGCTGCTGGCGGTCGAAGGACAGTAAAAGGAGGCTGAGAGAGAGAGAAAGCTGTGGACCCGTTAAACTGAGGCCCTCGTAGCATTTGTTGTGTCTAGGTGATACATTAACAGCTGGTCAGCCAAGGGGAAGGAATTCTTGTTAAAAGCCATAAAGCAGAGGAGCTCGGTGGGAGCTGGAGGAGGAGGAGGAGGAGGAGGAGGAAGAGGAGAGGAATTCAACAACAAGCCGAGGGGAGGAGATCACAGGGAGAGTGGGTGTGCGGCCGCTTACGTTTTGTTTGTGGCAGAAGTTGACGGCTTGGAGCGTCTGCCAGGTGATGCTTTTAACGAGATGCTCCGGGACGCTGCACGACAACAAGGAAATAAACTCATTAGTTACCTGACGGACAGAAAATAATTGCATTTTAGATTGTTGACTTTGGAAACAGGAGTTTGAGGGTAAAATTAGAGTTTACTGCAATTTTTCCAGCTGAGAAACATCAGATAATCCGTCATGGTCGACTGCAAACAGAAGCTCCTCCTATGAAGGAGCTAAACAAGTCTCATGATTCTTAAAACTTTCTCTAAACGAAGTGCAGATTTCAAGATTTTCATCAGAGATGCCTAAATACATACCAGATTTAAAGACACCAGTTGATCAGATTTTGCATTTATTTGCATTTAGCACTGCATCAATTGCATTATTTATGTTTATGTGACCTGTCCAGGGTGTCTCCTGCCCTCACCCTAAGTCAGCTGGGATAGACTCCAGCCCCTCGCAGCCCTAATGAGGATTTAGGGGTGTATAGGTAATGGATGGATGGATGTTTATGTGACCAGATTTCTAGCTACAGGCTAAATCTGGTACGATGCAGCTCTTCCCCTGATGTGCGTTTATTGTTCTGTTGTACATGTTCCCAACTGATTAATGTAATAACTTCGACTAAATGAAAACAATGCAGAGATGTTTCCAGGACACTGAGGTTTTAAATGAACTTCACTGAGTCCAGCTTTGCATATGAAGATCTGTGAAATATACAATGAAATATGAAGAATATCGTCAACATCTAGACTTGGAATCTGAGTTTCTAGATATGGAACAATCTGAACAATATCAACACTACTTATGTGTTTTTCTTGTTTTTTTATGTCTGGAGAACATTTCGTGGCAATTCATCTCAACGCTGTTCAGACGTTTCACTAATCTTCAGACTTCTCGTTCAGATTTTTGGGGATATTTAACCTGCAAAAACCTAAAAGAGAAGTCCTTTTAACTGAAGCTACAGGACTATCAGGACTGAGAATCGACACAGAAACAGTTCACCAAAAGCCACAAATGTGAACCTCAGAGATCAACAAAACCAGTCAGATTAATAAAAAAAAAACTCTGAATAAATGTCAAATTTCACAGTGATCCATGAAATCTGTTGAGCTATTGAACAATAAAGGGATGAATCTGTTATGATTAAACTATCTGTAAGGTGACTCTAATAAACAACACATAGACGGATAAGTGGATAAGTTTGTGTTTGGATTCTGGAGGAAACAGTTTCTTTGCTGTTCCGTCTGGTTTTTCTTTGCACAGCTTTGTTGTTCAGACGTTTCTCTCAGCGAACGTCGAGCCCCGACGTCCAACACTGAGGCTTTGTTGGTTCGGGGGCCTCCGTCCATCGGTGAAAAGGCTAATTCGAGCCTTGTGACTGGCAATTAATAACAATCTCCGCCCCTTCTCCCCGGCCCCGTTGTCACTTCTTTTGGTCCGGAGGCCGAAAACCAGACAGCCACAACGCGCCCCATAAAATGTGGCTCCCTGCCAGCAAAGCATTCTGGGAGAGCATCACTGTAGGCATACCGCAGAGGGCCGCTCGGCCTCCTGGGAGACCAGCATCGGGCCGGACAAAGCGCCGCCGTGTATATGTAATGTGGAGATAACTAAAGCACACACTGCTGTTGAATGAAACACACTCAGACTTATGCTCCAGTCAATACAGACAACCTGGTATTCATTTTTAAATAAATACAAGTTGAACTGGTGCTCTGTGTAAATGGGAGCCTCTGTTTTTACTGTGTTGCTTACAACAGATATCCAATGCCTCTGTTCAGCCATAAAGCTTCTTATGTTGTGTTTACTAGACGCTCAGAATGAATGCAGATGTGTTTATATGTTTACCTGTGTTTATTTACTATTATATTATTTACAGCCCTGTTTGATTGATAAATACAGAGCGTTAATGGTTTCAATCATTACAAAGACATCAGATAATACTGTTATTCTCATTGTGTCCATTGGGGTGAAGTCAAAATCACAAACTGTAGAGTCAAAACAATGAATTTTTAATCTTAATTTTGATTTCTTAAGTCAAATTCATGCCTGTTTATCTCATAAATGACTCCATCTTGGACATACTATTTCTAACTTTTAACTTTTTATCTGATAATTACGACATAAGTTGAGTTTTGATGTATTTTATTAAACAACAGACTACTGAGCTCATAATGTCAACTTTCTGTCTCAATATTTCTATTTTACAGCCCAAAACTAAATGTATTATCCCATAATTTTGACTTCATATGTCATATTTTGAAACCATATCATAATACTGATGTACGATCTCAAAACTTTCAATTAATAAATAAAAATGTGGACTTTTGATTTGGTCATTTTACCATAATGTGCCCTACAGGAGAATATTTAACGCATCGTTTTGGCTCAAAAAGCCCAAATTTAATGCATTATATCTTCACTTTGATGGTCTATCTCACCATTCATTTTAACTTATCTATTTTTTAAGACAACATTTAATGTAGTAAATCCTCATTTTGAAAGATGAGATTGTTCTGTACTAATCATAGTTTTTACATAGAAAGTTGAATTTGAACACACGCCCTCATTATTTAAGTCAATTTTGTAAGCATACTAGATCCAACCATATGATAAGATTAAGTTTTCATGTGATAGTTTTAACTTGTTAAGTCAAACATCAGACTATTCATTCATAATTCTGACTTGCTAAATTCAATTTTGTTCTTAATTTTGACCTTTTTTTTTGAGTATTGCTACTCTATATGCCAACATTCAAAGCACTATCCCATAATTTCAATTTAATAATTCAAATTTGGATGTATTATATCAGAATTATGACTTTATCTGATCATTTTAAATTAGCAGAACAAATAATAGACTGTGCATCACATCATTTTGACTCATTCATGTCGTATTCTGACTTAACAAGCAACATTTTTAAAGACTTTGTTGTATTGTATGATAATTCTGATGCACCGGATGGTAATTTGGAGCTGAGTGAGGCTGGAAATCATTATCAAGACATTCACAATAACATTAAATAGGAACAAAAAAATATTCTGTTCATGTAAAATGTGACAAGCTGGTAAACTAAGCAACTCTTCTTATTAGGTTTGAGTTGGCGAGTCATGTATAGTTTTCATCCTGTTTCAGGCTAACACTGGAAAACTTGTTTTTGCAACTTTTTGGTGTTCATAAGCACAGATACGGTCTTATTTCTACATATTATGTCTGAATATTTACCTGAAAATGTTTGTGCGCAGTGACAGATATGTATTTGTATAAGAAGTATTGTTTATTTTATGGCTTTAATTTTGCAGTGTTGTGATTTTAAGCTTCCTTTTCTCTCTCTAAATGTCAAATAAAGGTGAAAAAGTAAAGTTCTGCAGTTTGTTTTCTCTCCTTATTGTCTGTAAACTAACTACACTACAACTTGTATTTCTGGCGAGGAGACGAACCCACCCTCTGGGATGGCGGTCCAGCTCGTTGAGGACGGTGTGGTCGCAGTACTCGAACACCAGGTGAAGCTTCCGTTTGCGCCGAAACACCTCGATCAGATTCACCAGGTTGGCGTGTTTCAGTTGCTGCGTGGACACAAAACAAGAATCAAGCTTAGAAAACCGCAGGAGGAGGGTTTCAACCGTGGTTTGCTCTTATCAAACACACTAAACTGTTAACAGGAGGTGATAAACATGCTGTTGCCTCTGACAACGGGTCCTATTTATGAGCTGCCGGTGTCCAGCGGGCCGCTAACACTCCCACCCGCCGCATGACTAATTAAACCAACTGCACCGGGGCATCTTTGATAATTATGGTGCCACATAAAAGCAGGCAGCCTTTATCAAACACAAACTTTACCTCTAAATTTAACAAAGAAGGAAGATTTTAGTCACTTCTGTGCCCCCCAAAAAGAGGCTAAAGTCCGGTTTCCTGTAATTAAAATAAATTACGACGGACGTCTCGCTGCAGGGCTTTTCCTTCATTTGATTAAAGCTCTATAAACCTGCTCTGAATGCTGCTGTTTGGAATAAAAAATGTGCTTCTCTTCTCTCTGCTGAATGAACTGCATCGTTCCCCTCCTGCTGGCTGCACCGCCGAGCAGGAACTCTTTATGTTTCATGGCGTTAGAAACCTTTAAAACATCAAATAAAAGTCTGAAATCAGAGCAGGAAAGAACATACGAGGAAAAGATTGGCTTCTGACGGGATTCAGTATAAAAACACATTTGGACACTTGATCTCGTTTAGAGCAAGAACTTTTACTTTGGAGGGCAGAAATATAGTAATGTTCAGTAAAAAATGTTGCTTTTTTTCTCATAATTTTGACTTTACAAGCTTAATTATTGCTTAAAATGTCATAAATTTGACTTTTTACTTGATATGTTTAACTGAAATATTTGACTTTTTGTGTCAACATTTCAGTTTTTAAGCCAAAATCTCTGCTAACTGTCTCAACTACTCTAATTTCTAACCTAGCCAGCCAAATTCTGACGTATAATCTCATAATCTTGATTTGTTTAATTCTAATTTGAACTTTTTATGTAATGATCTTAACTCTGTAGATCAAGCATTGGACTATTGTTGTCATAATTTCAACCAAATAAGTCAAATATTTATGTATAACATCAGAAATCTGACTTTCCCATCATCATTTCTACATTTGAAGTCAAATTTCAATGAATTATCTCAAAATTCTGACTTAACAAGCCAAATTTCTGGCAATATAATCTCATAATCTTGACGTCCTACCTGATAATTTGATTTAAATAGCCAATCATTTGATTATTTACATCATAATTCTGACTTTAAAATCTCATAATTTCTACTTTTTACAATGAACATCGACTCATAATTTTGTACTTTTTAATCTCGTCATCATATTTTCCAACATTTTTCCTCATATTTTGACTAAATAAACTTTTGCTTCACACAACTTTTGATTTATAAGTGAAATCTTGATGCACTATCACATAATTCTCGTTTATTGTCTCTTGATAAACCAAAAATATTACTCGCTTGCTCCTAAACCTGCATTTTTCTGGTCTGGATAACCACGTTATTAATATTTCCTGGAGGAAATAAGCTCCTACATGTCTGGAAACCTCATTTGCAGTTGGTCAAATGTCAGTAAACAATGACTGGAGGCAGGTTAGTTGTCACCTTGAGCATCCTGATCTCCCTCAGCGCGATCTTCTTGATGATGGGGTCGTCCTCGGACTCGACAAACTTCTTGATGGCGACGATCTGACCCGTGTCTCTGTTTCTGCACTTGAAGACGACGCCGTAGGATCCCTCTCCGATCTTCCCGATCTTCTCGTACTTCTCCATCCTCGGGGGGGAGGATCGGCCGGCTGCTCGTTCAGCGGTGGTCGAAGGGCAGGGAGGCAGAAAACTGAATCTAAAAGCAAACACAGGAGACACAGGAGGGACCTCAGCAGGGAAACAACTCACCACCTGCTGCTTGTATGAAACACAGCCTCATTATTAAGGCTGCTCATCTCATAATATCAGTCATGACAGTGACTTAATATGAAATACATAATATCACGCAATTTACATGCATCCACCAGCAACAACAACAACAACAACAGGTGTTTGTGCAGCTCAGCTCTGATTGTGTGAAACCTGGAGGATCAAAATGTTCAGATAACCTCTTAAACTGCCTCCAAAAGATGCTGGGAGGGAACATTACACCTGTCGCGGAACAGTTAGATTGCGTAACAAAACATTTGCAATGCAAAGTATATTAGGTCAGCTCCCCGAGGGCACACACACAGAAAACAAATAGCAGAGAGAGTGAAAGAGCCTGGGGAATAAAATCAAAGTGCTGCACTTAAAAACACACCAACACCTGGCTGGAAATATGACATAAGCCTAGTAAAAAGAGAGATTACCATGTTGGATGTGCATGTTTATAACTGAGGCATATGATGGATAAAGCAGCTGTAACAACCCAGAAGTCTGAGCAAAGTTACCTCCAGACACAAACGGGCACATTTCTATGTCTCAGTGGTCAATATTCCAGTAAAAACACATCTTATTTGTTCATAAATGAAATGTTGACACTGACCTGCTGTGAAAATGTCTGCAGATGTTTCAGAGGCAGATATTCAGAGGGAGGCTCCTCTTCTTCTTCTTCCTCCAAACACCGACCTGTGAGGTGGACGATCACAGCTCAACTGTCCCTGCAGCTCCAACAGGCTCCTGTTTTAAGGCGTCAAGTCGGATACAACCAACCCTCTCGTGTGGCCGTGCTTTTCAAAATAAAATAACAAAACCACACCGCTGGCAGGATTTTTTTTACGAGCAGTAATTCCTGTTATTTCCATCAAATGAACATAGAATAGATTTAAACGACCTCATTGGCCTTTAGAAGTTTGTGTCAAATGCTTTTGTTCCTAATCATCTAAATAAAACATGTTTATTTATTTCGCTGCACACTAGGGGGAGTTCACAAACTTACATTTAACTAAGTAGGTCAAAGTGATTATATGAATAAAAATATGACAAAATCAACATAGTTGTAATGACGATATTTGTACCACAAATATTGCTAATAAATACACGTGCATGCTAACATTTACTTCCTTCTTTTTAGCGCTTAAACTTGAAATAACTAAATATCCAACAATTCTGACAGCAGTTGCTGTATGTGTTGTATTATTCTACACTATAACGTACAGTAGTTTTATTTTATTATTCCATACCAGTTTAAATATGTGTTTTACCCATTTTTTACTGAAAATATGCTGTTACAGTTTGGGAGCCCATTATTAGTGATTAAGCCAGAGAAAATGATTAATTAAGATAGTGTTAGGTATTTATAAAGCACCATTTAAACCCTTTTACATGCAACCTGAAACATGTGAAGTTATTTTCTGTATTTCTTTTTGTCCTTCCAGATTAAATGTGCCATTTTCAAAACAAGCAGGATCCCAGTGTTAGCTTGTTTGACTGGTGTTGAAGTGTTTAATAATGAAATAAAATAACACAGAATGCAGGTGCA